TATCAAGTTAATATATGGCGCTTGTTCTATATTGACTCGATAGTAAGTTTTATTAATGAACGCGTCTCGTTATTAATAACTACCCTCGATGAACTGGATATACTCCTCGATTGAGTATTCGAGAGGAAGATAGTTAAAGATATAACCGGGATCGACGAACATTTCATTAAGTGGATAAAAGCAAAACCAAGCCTCCACATCTATTAATCAAACTCATATAGGTTGTTCATCTTAGTATATTTAAATCAAACAAATCTAAACCCCCCTTGATACTACTTATATAAAAGAAAAGTATTCCTTTCTATGTGGATACGAACCTTACTTCACTATACTACGTATTAGTGTTGTATTGATTAATTATTTTGAGTGCACCTCACGACAAGTGCACGTCAGTGCACTAAGGACGGTGTGGTTCGGGCCAGACCGACGATGATGGCCGAGAGTGCGGCTTGGAGCTGAGGGTCAACGGTGGGAGAAACAGGTTGCCCCGAGGCATTGTTGCCCTTCTCCAGACGCTTCTTCTCCAGGCCGATGCGGGCGTGAGGAGCGCCGTCATTGAGCTGATGACGAAGATCATTCGTGAGGTCGATGGCCTCCTGGAAAACATCCCCGCCCGGGGCCTTGTCGGCCGTAGCATCCTCCTCATGTTCCCTTTTCTCTTGGTCCTCAGGGATTGCCTTGCTGAAGAGGTTGCGGTTGGACTTAGTTCTTCCCATGATCAGTTAGCTGTGCTTGGCAGCGACGAAGGATGCTAACTCGATTGTTCTAGCTCTCAATGAAAGCACCAAATGATAAAGTATATATTCTAGAGAGAAGTGAGAACTAGAGAGAGAAATGCAATAAATTCTTGCTATTAATGATTTGTGAACCCCCTACAACTACTCCCAAGGGGAGTATTTATAGAGGAAATTAGGGCTGGGCTCCCAAGTCTTGGGCTTGGGAGGCCCATTTACAATTGGGCCACTACGGGGCCGAGTACAAGGAATATAATGTAGAAATGACCAATTACGGAATCTGGTTCTGTGAACACTTTGTGGCTGATGAGGGTCTGGCCGACGGAGCCATGGCCAACGGCGACACCCGGTTCTGTGAGCACTTTGTGGTCGATGAGGGTCTGGCCGACGGAGCCATGGCCAACGGCGACACCCGGTTCTCCTGTCTTCTGGATAATAATCTGAGTCGATATCTTCCTGGCCGATGGGGGGCCATCTGGCCGACGGAGGCCTCACTGGGTGACAGTTGTGCCTCTTATTCTTCTGAGTATATGGGTCCTGGGGTCCGGACCAATATACTCCATCAAGCGGTTTAATTTATGTAGTTGATATTAAATTGATAAAGTAAGAATAAAGTAATACTATGTAATAATTTAGAGTTACACAAAATTTGGTATGAGATAATCTTAGTGGAACGTGCAGAAAAGGTAAAATAGGACAATCTTAACGATATAAAGGGGAAATTCAACGCGCGAAATCATAACTTAAGCGTTTGGTGAAAAAGTTGACTGATAAGCCCAAAAATAGAGTCAATTTAGTTTAACTTGATTGTAAAGTATAATGTCATGTTCGTAAAAACTGAACATAAATTACTGTGACCAAGTTACTACTATAGTCACCACATAGTCATATTTTATAAACAATAGTTATTTTAGTCATAAATATGTAATTACTTCATTCTAATCCTCTGTATTATTGTCCAAAAATGTGAAAATAAGTACTCCCCCCATGTCATTTAAAGGTCCCCTCCCACTATTCTCCAGTAAACGTGCATTGTTCTTACTCTTTTATTTTATATATCCATCTTTTATTAAGTTTAATTTTTTTGATCAAGTATTATAGAACTTTTAATGTAGTTTCTGAATATGTAAATTTTATTTATTAAAAGTAATTCTACGTACTAATGACATACATCAGTTTACTTTATGGTCATTCAAACATTGTAAATCATGTGAAATTTTTTTAATGAGACCACTTTTTGAAGCGAATAAAAATCAAAATATTGAAGCGAGTAAGAGATAGCAAAATAGTACTAACAAAAATCAAAACAAGATAGTACTACTCCTGTCCCATTTTTTGTGTATTGTTGTGATTTGACAAGAATATTAATAAAGTAGTTAATAAAGTAAAAATTTTATTTATACTATAATACAATGAAATATTATGAACCACCGATTTTATTTCTTTTCAAGAGGGACATTTATTTATTTCAAAAGGGAAAGTTAACGTTTATTTTGAGATAAGTCAATATATATCACAATAAAGATTTGATATGCGGTTGACTTTGATTTTTGTGTCCTTTAGTTATCATCATATCATCAACCTCCTTCACGAATACTTCCATTGCAAAGGCAGGTAAGCTCACAGTAACCACGACTCCGTTCTTGGATGGTATAAAGAAGCTACCACCTCCGGGTGTGGCGCCAACAAATCCTTTCGCAGGTCCACCGTAAGCCGGCTTTCCCCACCCGAAGTCCACCTCGCCGAACCCAGCCCGTCTGACATCAGAAACAAGATAAGTCCCCACCAGCGTGAAATGCGGCCGCCCCTTCAACACCATCATCTCCGCCACCGACCTAATGTACTCCTCGTTCACTTCAGATTTGGCCTTCTTCACCAGCTCCACCGCGTACCCCAACGGCTTCTCCACCAGCTCCTCCGCGGTTGTTAACGCCGCCGGGAACGCAAACGCGTTACCGTAGTATCCTTCCGGCAAGGGATGCTGGCGGAATCTCGAGCGGGCGTTCACAATGCAAATCACCCGAACCTTTTCTTTCGGGTCGGGTTTGAGGGTGGCTGTGCGGCAGCGCCACAGGAACGCCGTTAGTATGTCAAAGGTCGAGCACTGGTGCAAGTCGTTGGGGAGGAGACGACGGAGAGCGGCGACCTCCGTTGGCCCAAAGAAGAAAGAGCGGTGGAGCATGTCATCTAAGGGCATGATGGTCCCTTTGGAATCCGGAACTTGGTCGTACTCGTGGTGGGTGTAAGCCGTCGCGGGACGCGGAGGTTTCCGGGCATCCAACAATTCCCTTTGCCAAACAGGAATGACGGACGGCGCACGGGCGCCGCGTGCTATTTCGGCGACGGCGGTCATGAACTGGACAAGACCAGATGCGTCGCTCATGGTGTGGTTTAGTCGCAGTGCAAAAATGTAGCCGCCGCATCTCAGGCGGGTGATCTACACAACAGCAAGGTAGATTCTATGGTACCGTAAGGTACCGTACCTTTGTCCACATGGATCAATGAGAATTTTGTAGTCGAATTATTTAAATCTAAATTAAAAATGATATAATGATATAGACCAATCAAGTGAATGATAAGTACGATACACCATTTTTTACATGGATACTGGAGTTCTCACGTCAAATCAAATACTCCATGGTGTAGTATACTCCCTATAAAACAATCAAATGCAAACATGCAAAATCATTTCCGTTTTTTGTTGGTCAAAGGCAACTATTTCGAAGTGGTATTACTTGTCCCATATATTGATCCGTAAAATTGAGTTTTTTGATCGAACAATCATTTTATTCACTTATTTAGGATGACAATTATTAATTATACTCTAATTTGAAGTTTGCAACTTTGAAAAGATATTAATATAGTTTTTGAATATGTACATTTTAATTATTAAAAATTGAATTTAATATCAATAGGGAATATTTAACATTAACATTGATTGATAAAAAAATGTTGACTTTGCAAATCAATTTGTATTAAGTATTTCTGTATCTTGTTTTATCATATACAAAGTATCATATTTTGATTTACATATATAGTTTCAGAATACAGAAAGACATGCAATAATCTCATAAGTAAGAGTATATATCTATATAATTAATAGGAAAAATCATGTCATTCATGACAGTAAATACTGTCATGTTAATTAATGCGTAATTCTGCATTTTTTTTAAATAATGACTTCAAGATGGCGGTTAATAATGCCATTACTCCTATTTTAGAAAGCAAAACACAAGAGTTCTATTTTTTTATCATCACAAGAGTTCTATTTTAGAATTTGCAAACATAAGTTTCCTTCTTATTTGAATTCAGGAATTTTCCCAATCTAGAAGTGAGGTGCAGCACATGCATCGACCAAAGAAGAAAAGATTATTAGGGTTTTGTTTTGTATAAATATGAGGGGTACTTTAATTTTGTTTTTGTACATATGATTAGTCACTATTTTGTTCAAATTGAAAACTAGTCCTATTTTTATCTGGAAAATGTGGCACGTAGTATTATGAGAGGTGCTTATATCACACTCCATCAAAGTATGTCATAAACCCAAAGGGAATCAAATCGGATACGAACGACAGTAAAGGTTTTTTCACTTTAGTTAAACTTATTTAAATATATACGTAGTACATCAATATTCAACAGTTTTCTTTATGACTTTTGCTTCACCTTAGTCGGTGGAGGACCTAAGGCGAGGCTAGGGCACGTCGGGCACGGAAATTTACTAGTGGCACTTAAGGTAAAAGACATTGTCTAGTGTGCTCCGCTCTTACAAATCTTTGGATCCGCCACTTACCTTATTTATTCTTATACGTAGTATTGCACAGATATGCACATCGTGCATATAAAACGAGTTCCATACTACCTCCGCCCAATTAACATTGGGACGTGAACCACATTTATTAACAAAAGTAAATTTATATGATTGATACTCCGTATTAAATTGATAAAATAAAATTAAAGTAAAAATGATTTAGAACTAGACAACTTTTTTGAATTTAGTATGTGATAATTTTAGTGCAACACTGCAACGTACAGGAGTCGAAAAAGAAAAATGAGACAATCTTAATGAGACAGAGAGAATACATGACCGAGAGTCTTGGATTTTAAGAAAAAATGGTATTAGCTCAATCGTACTGTATAATTTATTTTAATTTTCTTTTGTTCTACCCTACACTTTAATTTTTTATTTTAAAACAATTCGTTTTTTATCTTCTAAAATGGTACAAATTAAAGTAAGAGTATACTCCGTAATTAAGCTCCTCTATATACCTGAATGAGAAGCAAAGGGCAGTTAAGAATATCACCCGAGCCAGGAACATCATAAAGAAGCTCATCCGTGCATGGAAATGGAGGTTGTAGGGCATCTCCAAAATCCGACAGCCTGACGTCAGCATCGCCCTCCATAAACATGATCCCCTCCCCGGTGCAATCCACCATAAGTTTCCGGTCAACTCCCTCCCGGAGCCTCCCGGCGAAGGGGTAGTAAAGCACCAGAGCTTTGGCCAGCGCTTCTCGGATCACCTTCACGGGGTCCCTCCCGTCCATGGACGGATGGTGGCCGTAGAACTGTATGATTGGGATCTGAAACCTCAAGCCATCCTGATCGTCAATGTCCGATAGACACTTGACGTGATTAGGCGTCAGCTCTGCCGGAGAAACAAGCTCCGGCGTCCGCCTCCTCACCGTGAAGACCAAAGACTGTGGTGGAGCCATGGTATATTAAGAAAGAATACTACGAGTACTTCGTAAAACTCCTCGTCGCTTCAATCTCTACTTATATAGTGACGGCCGTAAGCACATCAAGGAAAGTTAGAGCTCAAAGTCAAATTTAGGGGAGGAGAAAATAGAAATTGCTTTAAATAGGACTAAAATTTGGACAAAATGCACAAATAGGACTATATGTATTTTATTACTGAAATAAGACTTATTTAATTCTATTAAAAGTATAAAACTTCTCCTATTAAGAGTGAATAGGTCCTAGTTTAGGAAGAAAACAATGACTGTCTTATATGTGCACTTTGTTCATGTTTTAGTCCTATATAAGGAATTTTCTCTTTAGAAAATGAGGCCTCAAAATCGCAAATTCTACAACAATAAAACTATAATTATTGCCTCGACTTAAACAATGAAATTATTCCAAAGTAGGAGTTCCTATTAATTTATTCCGAGTTTTTAGTTGACCGGTCCTTCGAATTCAGGGGCGGATCTAGCATAGGGCCAGGGAGGGCCTAGGCCCCACCTCAAAAAAAAATTACTAGTATATATATATATATATATATATATATATATATATATATATATATATATATATATATATATATATTATATGTACTGTGAAGCAATGATATAATTAGAACAAACGTCCTATTATAAACAAAAGCTACGTTGGTGTGATGGTAGAGACGTGATTGTGCAGTCTAGAGGTTATGTGTTTGATTCCTAGCTGGAGCATATTTTTTTTTATTTTCCATCCAAGTCCAGGAACAAGCTATCTTACACATTCAAGTCTGAATTTTACCTTTTGAATACTAGGATGCAAAAATCAAGTAGTCCAACTAATTGGGCTTTATTGGTCTGAAACACCAATTAGTTCAATTGATTGAGTTTTTTGAATATTGTCCTAAAAATTAATTAGTTTTATTCATTGGACTTTTGAATATTGACCAAAAAATTAATTAGTTGAATACATTGGATTTCGTAGGTGAAAATAAGTTTTCTTTACATAGAGTATAGATTTTAGATTAAAAAAATCGGTTTATCTTGTTTCCGAGAAACTAACCTAAAAATTGGCACTAAACATTTGGGTAATCGATAAAACTTCGGTTCGATATTTATGACTTTTAAGATAATTGTATTGTCGGTTCTGTAATATTCAATTTATTCTTTGACATTTTTATAATTTACATTTTGACTTCTAAGATATTATTATACTGTATTACATTTTGACATTTTTTTATAATATACGTTATTTGATTAAATTTTGGCCCCACCTGAACGTAAATGCTAGATCCGCCCCTGCCTTCGATCCATTCGAGACTTAGCTTCTCCGCCGATCTGCTACTTATCCATCTCCAACGGACTATAATAAGTATGAATGGTGAATGTTTATCCACAACTCCAGCCACCGGCGGGTAGCGGCGAGTCCGGCGACCACCATCACTGAGTTTTTATCTTTCTCCTCTCCTTCTCTTCCTCCTCTTCTTTCTTCTTCTTCTCCCTTATTTTAATTCACTCGATGACAACATCTTATGTTGTTTGCTTCGTGAAGTTACAACCATTTTTTTAATTTGATGTTTGCTTCATTTTCCCGGGCCCTCTTTCCAGATCTACTTTATCGTTTTTCTTAATTTTTATGTTTTCTCTTCCAATTTTCTTTCAACAATTTCACTAAAATTCTTTCAGACTTTGATTTTGATGTTTTCTCTTAGGGTATGTTTGGGAGTTTGGAGGGAAGAGGATGGGAAGACTTTGGAGGTATGTTGTTGGAGGGGAAAGGGAGAGGAGGATGAGGAAACTCTTCTTTGTATTTGGGAGTAATAAAATTGAAAGGAGAAAGGTTTTTGAAAAAATTATAATTAAAATCACTTTGAGATATGACGAATTCAAATCATTGAACTGATATTCGTTTCTAATTTAGCTTAAAATACCATCTTGTTAATTATCATCCAAAACCCTTCAAATTGGGGGAACTTAAAAATCCAGCATTTTGAGGGTTTTGAAGGGTCACAAAAGCCCCCCAAAATCATCCATCCGATTTTTTGAACTCCCAAACATGAAAAGGAGGGTTATAAATCCCCATTAACCTTCCCCTCCCCTCCAAAACCCAACTTCCAAACACACCCTTAACATTTTATTAAAATTCTACTCCGTACAATACTGATTACAATTTTTGACATTTGATTTCGATCAACTTTTTTAACTTTTCAGACTATATTTTTTATTTGAATCTAAAATTTTCATAATCTCTATTTAAAGCTTTTTTATTTGAATATAAAGTTTTCATAATCTCTATTTTAAGCTAATGCTTATAGTATTAAGATAAAAATAAAAATATTACTCTGCATACAATACTAATAATGACATTTTTTCCATTTGAAAATATTATTTTGCCACATATTGCCATTTTTTACATCAATTCCATCAGGATGTCAATTAAATACAAGTCATAATGTCATGTTTTTCATATGAAAAATTTAATTTTTGCATTTAATGCCATGTGTAAGATGGCAATACCATTCATATCTCACTTTAAATACAAATGTCATTAACATACATTCAAATGACCAAATTATATTTACAACACTTTTGACATATTTTAGATTGGCGGTAGTAGATCCAAAAGTGGCGGTGCGGATCCGGCGACAGCCGGCGGTGCTACACAAGGCGGCGGCGGTGACTGACGGCGCAGGTGCTTAACAGCGATGCAACCACGCAGCAGAGGCAAAGGCAGCTGTGGAGACAACGGCGGAGGTGCCTGGTGGTGACGGGGTCTGGCGGAGGTGACAATGGTGGCACCACCGCCGGCATCCAGTGGTGGAAGAGGCAGCTCTGGCGATGACATGGGTGGCGGAGACAGGTGGGGGACCACTGTGCACGGCGACGGATGAAGCAGCAGCGACGGATTAAGCGGCGGCAGGGGCGGAGGATGATGGGGTGGCGGCGGCAGCTAAGAAGGTGGTCATTTGCCCTAGGGTTGTGTCGTTGGTTGTCTGTTGTACTAATTTCTTTTCTATATTTTGATTTAAATTATTAATAAACAACATATGAGTTTGAGATTGCATTAAGGGCATTTATGTCAACTCACCTCCTTTTTACTCCTACTAAACCTGACGAGAAGCACAACTCCTATTTGTAATTATCTCTAAAACTATTTGTACATGCTCAAGAGTGCATTTTATATGTGAACTAGTGTTGAACTCGGGCGATGGGTGTTGCCCGACTGGTGTTTTTACTTCTCATATGCGGTTTTATTTTATAATTATAAATGAGTTCGAAAACTTAAGAATTGGCGAAACCCCAACCCTGTTAATATACAAATATGCACGTGATTTCCATCGTGACTCAAACAATTAATCACTAGAAATATGTGTCTTAAGCCGGGTTAAGTAAAACTTACATGTATATTTGTCTAGATATCTAAATGTTAAAAATATAACAAACTTTTGTTTTAGCCATCCATTCAATTTGTTATTAGAATGTAACGTAACACATGTATGACTCATCACAACACATGACATTTTGATTTTTTTTTACATATGGGGACAATACACATAAGCTACATATGAAGGGGATTTCACTCAATAAATCCAAAGTATATGATAATTTAGTTTGCTCATTTTTTACTTTGGCCTATTAAGAGTCACATGATTACAGAATTGAATTGAATATTTTCAATTGGTATTTATTGCTTCTTTTGGAATGCTTTGTATCCGCTTCATTCGAAATTCACATACTCGGTCATTACAAAATTTAAATACTCCAATTCTTTAATAAGCGCAAAGTCATCAATCACATCATAACTTGTATATATAGAACAAATATCGTGAACATTTATCCCATATGTGATTTCTAAACCATAACATCTATTTATTTCAAAATTTAATTAACAATGGTGAGAGTAAGAAGTTCGATAAATTTAGTGCTCGCTTGGTCATCGAGCCCTTTTTACTTATGAAATTATCTCATGGATTTATGAAATTAAACTAATATGAGTATATTTTTTAGATATATTTTCTATTAAAAGAAAAATGACCCATGTAACCAAACATTGTATATGGTTATCGTATTTACCTATTGGGATGGGTATGATGATACAAAAAATTACCCGTTGAATAATAGAGTGATTAGATTATGGGAAGCAACCCCACAAGCATCTCTATTGATTAGGGATGGGCGCAGTCCGGTCCGATCCAATATTTTACCGAACCCGTGCCCGGACCGTTACTTTTGAAATGGTTCGGTCAGGTTCGGTCTTAGACCTAAACCCGTTCGGTTCGGTTTCATTTTCAAACGGTCCGGTACCATGCCATACCAATGCCAAACAATGCCACTTTTTTCGATAAATTAAAACTTAGTTATCATCCAAAAACCCACACAATTATCAATTTTCATACTACCTCCGTCCTAAAAAACTTTGTCATTTCAAAAAAATTGAACCATGATTGTGATTACTATAGAGTATTATGGAAGTTATAAATTTTATACTTTTATGAAAGTATTTTTAACAAATAACGTTTTCATATAATTTTTATATTATAAATAATTCTCAATAAAAAATATAATTTGTCAAAGTTTTAAAAATGGAAAAGTTTTTTGGGATAAAGGTAGTATTATATAGTTAATGAATTTCTTATAGACTATAATAGTACAAAACATAAATAACTAACAATAACATAGTTAATGAATTTCATATAATACTATTCATTTTTACCGATCCGGTTAACTAGCAATTAGCAAAGCGCAAATGAGTAATCAAAGTAATTTAGTGGTAATATGGTATACATGTATATATAATTATAAAATTATATAAATTAATAAAATTATAATTCGGTTCGGTTTGGTCCGGTACCTGTTCTCATTTTATGAGAACTGGTCATGGCATAGTTTGGAATCGGTCCGGTCCGGTCCGGTTCTTATTTATAATTTTTATATTATAAATAATTCTCAATAAAAAATATAATTGGTCAAAGTTTTGAA